GATGCATCCAGCTCTAATATGTTGTAACCAAAATTTCGCCCAGGAACGAACCCTCTCTGGACAGGTGGCGCCAGGGCCTGAAGAGCGGGACGGATGGCCTGGTTGACAATCGACGAGGTCAACTTCAAATCACAATTGCGCAAGCCGAGAAACCGAACGTTCTCAAAAGAACGGATGCACTCCTGGTCCCGAAGCTCGATGATGCATGTAATATTCTTGGGGGGAAATGAACGGCGTCGCTCGCACTCGCGAACAGCTCCTGCCCAGACAGGACCCACTCCAGAGCATCCCATAATATATAAATCAACTCCCCAGCGAGAGGCTGACCAGACAGCGCGCGGCAGGGCATCGGGGCCAAGAGCAGAGTGGCGAGCGAGTCGCATCGCTCTCCGAAGCATCGCTTTCGACGGGGGGGGATACTAAGCTGATCAGCACGAGGAAGGAGACGATGGAGGCAGGGGGCGGCGGCAGCGGCATCCCAAGACTTCTTCTGAAATACATGCCCCCAAAACGCGGTAAGTTCGGAGAAACGCTCGCCGGGTGCGCCCAGGACCTGGCCATCAGGACACGAACACCAGAGAGACAGATCTTCCTGTTCACCGGGGACCATGGGCGCGCCCGCCTCTCGATAGCACGACCCTGAGCACGCAGCTAAGCACGGCCATCTTCACGCCTCCTCCGCATCTCAAGCTCAGCCTTGGCCGCCTCGGACGCATCGGTCTGGACCTGGTCGACCCGCACTTGGTAAGACGGCGGGTGGCGCGGCTCAACCGCTCCGCGCGATATCTTGATCAGGTCGGCGGCAAGGGGGCGGGGGGCGACGGGCGCGGGGGCGAGGGGGAAGTCCCGGCGCCAGACAGCACGAGACAGAGAGCGCGTCAGCTGCAATAGGGCGCGGGGGTGACGCGGCCTGCCCCGAAAGAAAGTGCCCCTGGTCTCGGCAGCGGCAATCCCCATGAGGATCCTACATTTCTCGAGCTTCACAGGCGGCGACACATGATCCCAGGTAACAGATTGACAAAGCCCTTCGAGCCGACGACGAAAACCTGGTTCATGAAATACGCGCTTGGGAATGGGACGAGACTCCAGAGGCTTAGCGAGCCAAGGGGCAGAGGAAACCAAGACAGCGGCGTGGTCCGAGATCTCGCGGTCGAAGACGGAGGCAGGGGAGTCGAGGGTGCCGATATGCACTTGCATCTGACAAAGCTGCCACCCCGGGAGAGAGCAGAAGACGCGATCGATGGACGAGCAGACGTTATGGTGTTTCTCGTAATGAGCTGGGTCCTCGCGTTCTATCTCAGTGAGAAGAAAGGGCCCGTCACGCCACTTCGGCGCCTGTGCGTGATGTACACGTCCAGGTCGGCGGGTAGCAGCCGCCGGATGAGATGGCGCAAGGGCCTTGTGAGAAGCAAAATTGAAGCCCCCGCAGACGAAGGCGGCGCGCGCGTCGGGAGACTCGGCGGCAGCAGCACGAGAAGAGCGGATAGCCGAGACAATGCCACGCACTTGCTCTGGCCGAAGATCATGGTTGTGGATGTTGAAGATGTCGAGGACTCGGTGAGCGTCTCGCACGGTGACTCGCAGAGCTCGCCCAGGAATGAGCTCTGACGTGGAAACAGTCGGTGACGAACCCGCACGTTCAGCGAGAGGAGGGAGAACCACGGCAACACCGCCACGAGTGTGGGCACACGGGGAGTCGTCGCAGAAACTGGAGCACACGGTCAGGCCCTTCGCGACCGTGCCGAGGAAGGAGACGAGATGGTGATGATCCTGATGCACCTCTTGGAGCGCCAAAATGGTCTCCGCCGGTTTGAGGCGCAACAAGTACTTGCGTTTCACGGCGGCCTTGTCGCCGCCCGCCTGGAGGAGAGCCCGAACACTCCACGCGGCGAGGCGCAGCACGCGGCCGTCCGACCATCGGGGAGCCGAGGAAGCCGGAAGAGCAGACCAGCGCTAAAGAGACCACTGGCTGGGGTCAACTGGGTGCGCGAGTTCCTTGAGAGCGTCTCGCAGGGCAGCGACCACGATCTGGTGCTTGAGAAGCTGCTGAGTGTCAAAGTAGATTTTGGGAGGGGCGCCGCCGTGGGCGACCTCGACCTGGAGCACGCGGCCCCAGCCGATGGCCAACACGCCGCGCTCGCGATCCGAGAAGAGGCGCTTGCCAGGGAGCTTGGTGTCCACGATCTGCCCGACCTGGCGGAGCGTGACCTCGAGCTCGATCTGCTTGGGGGACTTGTCGGGGCCCATGTGAAGACGGCATTTGTCCGAACCTGGGGGCCCCACCCAAAACTCACGCCAGCCGCGAGCGTCCCTGAGCTTGGAGACCGCGAGCGCCACCTTGCGAGCAGCAGCGGCCGCGGGACCAGAGAAGTGGATCTCGAAGCGGCGAGCGGGCGTCGCGCCTTTCTGGATGAGAGAGAAATCGCCATCGTTGTGCCCGGCGCTGGCGAGCCAGGGCCGAACCACGGCGTCGACGCTGGCGAGGGTGGTGGGTTTCTGGGAGACCGCAACCATGAAAGGTGGTGTTGGGCGCACGGTCGAAGGAGTCAGGCGGTGGCGGCAGGAGGAGGAGGAGGAGGAGGAGGAGGAGGAGGCGGAGGAGGAGGAGGAGGAGGAGGAAGAGGAGGAGGAGGAGGGACGCCAATGCGAGCTGACGACATTGCCCCCGAAGCTGGTCAATGGCCTCATCATGGCGGTCGGCGCGCTCCGAGGTGGCGGCGATGCGGGCGGCATGATCATCCAACTGCTTCTGAAGGCGCCTGGTGAGGCCAGCGATGCGGGGCTCGACGGCGGACTGGACCTGCTGCTGGATGGGAGAGGACTGCTTCGCGACCTCGTCCTGCATCTTGGACAACATGGACATGAGGGTGGAGTGATTCGACGGAAGTCATCTGAGTAGAATTATTCAGGCTCGTCGTCTGGTGCAGCACCGTCGCGAGGAGCAGCACTAGCATGGCGCTTGCGCGAGCCGCAACTGGCGCCAGCGCCCTTGCCCTTGCCAGAGGACGGCTGGGAGTCATCGGGGCCGGGGAAGGTCGCAACACCCTCCATAGCTGCGGCGATGGCGGAGCCCTCTTGGGACCAGAGGACGTGGAACGAGTCGGCGCCATCGGCCATGGCACACGCACGGGAGACTGCAGGAAGATGTCCGCCAGCCTTCGACAGCTGGAAATGCCCGCAAGAGGGGCTGCCCGCTCAAGGTGCCAAAAAGCTCTTGAGCCAAAATGGCAACGGAAGGGGGAGGAGGCGGAGGAGGAGGAGGAGGAAGAGAAGGAGGAAGACGAGCAAGAGGAGACGACTAATAAGAAACGGGGATGAGGAGACTGTGGAGGAAGAGAGGGAAGGAGGAGGAAGGGGGAGGATGAGAAGGAGGAGGAGGAGGAGGAAGAGGAGGAGGACAGGGAGGAGCAAGAGGAGGAGGTTGGGGAGAAGATGGACAAGGACGAGGAGGAAGACCAGCAGCAGCAGAAGGGGGAGGAGACGACGTATCAGTTGACCGTCTAGTGCCACCCTCGACCTCATGTCCCGCAGTTGAGACGGAGGGAGCCACTACCCAAAACAGCTGAGCAGCTCTGGGCACGGACACACGACAGAATGATGAATGCAGTTGGCGAAGCAGGAGGAAAGGAAGAACACGAATCTCAAATGCAATCCCACCCCCCACCCACGCAGCAGGGGAAGCACGACATGAGGAAGAACACGCGTCTCAAGCGTGACTTCCTACAGCAAAGTAGGTGAGTAAGAAATCGCACCTCAACGCACAACCTCTTCCGATCCAGTCAGGTGTGTAGATGCTCCTTAAGACAACTGAAGCCATGCGCAGTGTATCGAGAGTAAGCTGGGTCGCATGTCGGATTTCCTCGGCTCGCTGATACGAAGCTGAACCAATAGGTGGAGTGATGGCCTTCCTTTGTAGAGATGGAAGGCCACTGCACAACACACCACGCACTGCTGGCGCGATTCTTTTCCGCCGTCCCGTACCCACCCTCCACCCACAACCCAAGGCTACTTATGTAGTCATCATCATCCCCTCCCCCTCTCCTCCAGGGTCGGACGAACGGGGGGAGGCAGTAAAGGAGGGTAGCGAGCAGCTCGCGTAGCTGAGTTTCCCAACGCCTCCTGGCGCCAGAGGCGCCAACGTGAAAGTGCCAGGCGGGGGCCGAAACCAGCTGCACGCAGCAATTTTCGCACCCCTCCCTTTCCCAATCCCCCCCCTTTCGTCCGACCCGATCCTCCTGGTCCACCACCTCCCCCTCCATCTCCTCCACCTCCATCCCTCCCCAGACATTCGACGACGTGACTTGTTTCCCATGCGTGGCTAAAGATGTCCCAACACCTTCCCTGGGGGCAACTGTTCGTCGCAGATTCATGTCTGGTGGTTCGTGGCCCAACAATGAGCCCTGGAAGCCTAAATCGAGCAAGCCCATATTTAGGGGGCCACATGCGAACCCTACCCCTACCCCCCGCGATTTCTGAGGGGGAGGGTGGGGTTCACTTCGCTTGGGAACTCCCGAACGAAGTGAACCCCACCCTCGCCCTCAGAAATCGTGGGGGGTAGGGGTAGGGTTCGCATGTGGCCCCCTAATATTGAACACAAGCACATATCGTCGGAGATCTGGAAGCGCGAGGGCCTGGGTCCGGGGATCAAACTTCGACCTCCCTGGGGGCGCTTTGGCTGAAATTTCGGGGCGGATCTGGCCGTGGCGGCGAAGAGCCCTAGAAGAAGCCAGCAACGCCCAAAGAACCTACATCCTCTGACCTTCGAGTTTCGATCCTGGGTCTTCGCCTCTACCTCCTGGCTCCTGCCCTCTCCCATCCCCAAGTGGGCTCCAAGAGGGCCCCAAGATGGCCTAAGAGCGCCCCAGAAGGGCCCCAAAGGCGCCCAGGACGGCCCAAAAAGGGCCCCAAAACGGCCCGCAGAAGGGGCCCAAGCGAGGGAACACGAACCGAAAATCCGAACCTTCCGCCCCAGGAGGCCCCCAGGAGGCTCCCCTGCAGGCCTGCAGGGACGAGCTGTGGTACTCCACCGCCTCGCCCGCGGCGGGCAGCAGCTCCCCCGCGACCACGCCGCGCGCGCAGTCCAGGTCGTAGGTGCCGTTCGGCAGGGGGCCAGCCACCACGACCGCCTCCGTGGACGGCGACGGCGGCGACGACGCCGCCGCCGCCGAAGCCGACGGCTTTGAGGCGTTTCGCCTTCCTCAGTCTCCAGGGCGCCCTCTTGGCCACGGCTGGACTCGGCAGCAACTTCTGGCCACACCGCAGCCCTGAACAGGTCCAGGGGCAAGTTTGTTGGGGCGGGGGGGGGACGACGACGGCGACGGCGACGGCGACGGCGGCGAAGAGCGGCGGCCGCGGGCCGCGCCGGCGCCGCCGGCGACGCGTCGGCGCCGTCGCCGCGGAGCCTCCGCGGCGACGGCGACGACCGACAAACGGCGATCGGCGATCGGCGGCGACGGTCAGCGGCGGCGGCGGTGTCCCCACCAAGGCGCGCACGGGCGAGCCGCTCGGCGACGAGGCGCCTGCCGAGCTGCCCTGGTACACCACGACCGACCCGGACGCGGGCGCGAAGGCCATGGCCCGGCCGCGGCCCCCAGAGGGGCCAGAGGCCCGCCGCCAGGGAGGATACCTGGGCAAGCAGCATCAAGAGCACACACGAGTTCGGAAGCTTGCGCCGCTGCAGGCGTGCGAGCATGTTTTTGTACAGTCACAACCATGCGTGCGTGTGTCTGTCTGTCTGTCTGTTTCTGTCTGTTTCTGTATGTTTCTGTCTGTTTCTGTCTGTTTCTGTCTGTTTCTGTCTGTTTCTGTCTGTTTCTGTCTGTCTGTCTGTCTGTCTGTCTGTCTGTCTGTCTGTCTGTCTGTCTGTCTGTCTGTCTGTCTGTCTGTCTGTCTCTGTCTATCTCTGTGTGTCTGTCTGTCTGTCTGCCTGCCTGTCTGTCTTTCTCTCTCTGTGTTTATGTATGTATGCATACACCAGAATTAATATTTTGTACACACACATACACACGTGAAGCGCGTTGCACAACGTGTGCGCAGCCGTACATCTCTACTGTACGACGTGTGACCACACATACACATGTATAAACTTCTTGTCGGCAAAGAGACGCCAGCAAGCGGCCAGCGAGGAGACGCTGCAGCTCCTCTCAGAGGCGGTCTCCTGGGTGGCCTTTGGCCTTCTTCCTGCTGGGGCGCTGCAGGCCTTGCGGGTCGGCGAGGCCATCGCCCTCGACAAAGAGGGGGGCGAGGTCCGGCCTGCGCTGGTGAGGCCGGCCTGGCGGCGGCTCGGCCTGCGGGCGCTGGTCCGAGTACGAAAGGAGCAGCTGACGACAGCTGCTGGCGAGCACCATTACGGCGTGGGGAGACGAAAGGGCGCGGACCTGCTACTGCGGTGTCTGGAGGTCCGACCCACAGCTGTCTTCCTGACGCTAGGCCTGAAGGCGGATTTCCAGAGACTGAGACGCCAACCTGCCGCCGCAGCGATGGCGAGGCACGGCCCCGCTGCGGCTGCCGCCCAGTCCACCTGGTACAGAGGCCCAGTGGGCCACTACTGGAGGGACGCTGGCGGGGCGCTGCACAAGGTCCCAAGCAACAGGGGTTTCGACCAAGGTGATCCTCTCTCCCCCGCTGGCTTCTCGGTGGCGCAACGCGAGGCTCTCGCCGACTTCTGGGTGCAACTCCAGAGGCTGGACCCTGCTGCCAGGCACTACTCCTACCTCGACGACACGCACCTCGTGGTCGACGCTTGCCTCTCTCCGAACGTCCCCGCTGCACTGGAGACAGCCCTGGAGCCCTACGGCCTGGAACTCAACCACGCGACGACCGCGGTGTGGTCGCCGCGCGGGATCGCGGTAGCGCCGCTTGCGCTGCAACCCCGCTACGTGGCCGTTCTCCTAGTGCTTGGCAAGCCCCTCCTGCCGCGGGGAGACCCAGAGGACAACCTCGCAGCCTTCGGGGCGTGCGCCGACAGCCTCGACAAGGCGGCTTTGCGGCTGCAGCAGCTCTGGGACACGCTCTACCGGCTCCACCATGCGGGCCTGAAAAAGCAGGTTAACGCGGCCTTGCTGCAAACCTACGCCGGCGCCGCCAGCCAGCACGCCCTGCGGCAGGAGCTGGCCAGCGAAGAGGCCACTCGACGCTACGACGCCCCGCTGGCGGGCTGCTGGGAAACGCTACTGCGGCGCGACTTTGACAACGACGCCAAGGGGCTGCTAGGCCTGCCCAAGCGCCTGGGCGGCCTCGGGGCGCAGCTGGCCTGCTCGCGGCGGAACGCTGCCTTTCTCGCGTCCTGGTCTGGCGCGGCCGCCGAGGTTGCGAGAGACCTGGGCTGCGGCTCGCTGCACGGCGCCCTCGAGCGCCTGCCAGCTGCCGCAAGCAAGTTGGAGGAAGCGAGACAGGATCTAGCCAGGCAGGGGCTGCTGCTGGCGGACGGCGGGACGCTGGCTGACTTCTTGGCTCACGAGCTCAAGCAGGGCTTGGCTACGGAGAAGGTGCAAAATACACACCGCGCTGCGCTCCTGCAGCTTTTGCCCCTTCTCCAACAAGCCACTCTGCGAGGGCAGGCGGGGCAGGGCGCGGCAGCCTTCCTGGGCTAACCCACCGAGGCGCTCTGCGCGCTTGAGAACGCGCACTGGGAGACGGCAGCTCGCCTACGGCTGCAACTCGGGCGGCCGGAGCGCGACCGGGGCCAGCTCGCGGCGGCGACGGCCCACTGCTGCCTGCGGAGCGCCAGCGGCGAAGTCTGCGGGCGTCCACTGGACGACCTCGGCTACCACAGCGCCACCTGCCAGAACGGAGGCGGGGTGGTGCGCAGGCACGGCGGACTGGCCAGGCGGCTCGGCGGGCTGCTCCGGCGCTGGAGGCACGAGGAACCGCTCTACGAGCAGCGCGTCCCGCTCTGGGACAGGCCGCGGCCAGGTCACGCTGGGGAGACGGAGCGCGCCGCTCTCGATCTGGACTACCAGGACGAGGACGGCCGCCGCTGGCTGGACGTGTCCGTGCGACACCCCGCTGCGGGCAACCCAGCGGAGGAGCGGGTCGCGGCCCGCCGCGACGGCGACGCGAGCAGGCGCGGGGAGCGGGACAAGCACGTTCGCTACCCCGGAGAGCGCCTCACCCGGTTCGTCCGGCTTGGGCGGCGCTGCGGCCGCGGCCGGCGCGGGGCGGCGCCTCCTCCTCCTCCTCCTCCTCCTCCTCCTCCTCCTCCTCCTCCTCCTCCTTCTGCCTGGGCGCTCGGCGGCGCGCCAACTCTTCTCCGCGTCATGCCCCTCGTTCCCCAGGCGCGGCTGGGGCGCGCCCTCGAGGCGTGGCTGGGGGACCCCCCCGGCAACGTGGGAGGCCGAGACTCTGTTTGTCTGTCTGTCTGTCTGTCTCTGTCTCTGTCTCTGTCTCTGTCTCTGTCTCTGTCTCTGTCTCTGTCTCTGTCTCTGTCTCTGTCTCTGTCTCTGTCTCTGTCTCTGTCTCTGTCTCTGTCTCTGTCTCTGTCTCTGTCTCTGTCTCTGTCTCTGTCTCTGTCTCTGTCTCTGTCTCTGTCTGTCTGTCTGTCTGTCTGTATGTCTGTCTGTTTGTCTGTCTGTCTGTCTGTCTGTCTGTCTGTATGTATGTATGTGTATGTATGTATGTATGTGTTCATGTGTGTGCGTATGCAAACGCAAGTATTATTGTGTGTACACACGCATACACACGCGAAGCGCGTTGCACAACGTGTGCGCCGAAGCACATCTCTACTATACGACATGCGACCACACATACGCATGTATAATTGTTTCGTCAGCTGCGAGGCAGGGTGACTGCGCCACAGGCAGAGCTAAACGGAGCTACCGAAAAGCGACTTGCCCAGCAAGCAAGAGGAGAGATCAAGACAGACAGGGCGGCCGCGGAGGAGGAGGGAAAAGGGGCGCATTCAGAGGCGGATGACTTCCGTCCTGACTGAGTGCGCTGGCGCGCCCAACCCTGGCGGCGGGGACCGCGGCAGCGGCTGGGCCGCGGCGCCGGTGCATCCACGGGCGCTGACGAGGCCCAGTACGCGGGATGCAAGGGTACGCACAAGAGGAACCGACCAGCTGTGGGCCAACTAGGCACTGCAAGGAAAGGATAGTACAGCGGAGCCGCCCATTGGGCAGACTAGGTACTGCAAATGGCGACGAGCAGTCTACGCTTCAGATTGCCACCAGCAAAATGCTGCGCTCGCTGGGTGTAATCCGAAGGCCGCATGAAGCGCATGGCCCAGGAGCACCCTCGCCAGGAGGTCGTTGCCAGCCGCGGCTGCAGCACCAGCGCCATGGCGGCGCTCGGGGGGAGGGAGGGAAAAGGCGCAGGGACGAGGAGGGAGTGAACAGGAACAAGTTAGGTGCGCTCTCGTCGTATCTGACGTCCTACCCTCCCTCCCATCCCTTTCCATGGCGTAGCTTTCCTCTCTACTCGCACATCGATGTCTTAGCATCGCATAGCATTACATGGCATAGCAAGGTGTTGAATATTGACGCGTAGCATGGCACAGCATAGCGTGGCGACCCCCCTAAGTGGAGGGGCTTCTGCGGCCCACAGAATCAACGAATCGGCACCGAATGCGTAATCACTTCCGATGCTTTTTGTTCGGGGATGGGGGGGCATTTTCTAATGTTGGGGCCGATTTGGAGGGACCGAAAACCAAGCCGTGGCAAGGCGCTGGAAATAATGACGCCAGCGCTGCAGCGGGAGCACGATTCGAACCGAGCGCAGGCGCGGAAATGAGGCCAGCGCTGCAGCCCGAGCACGATTCGGAACGAACGGTAGCCCGAAAATGAAGCCAGCGCGTCAGCGAGAGCAGCATTTCGTCAACAACAATTATTCACTGCGTGGAGCTCCCCATATGTGCATCTATTCGCATGGACCTGTCCGCCGTGAACGTCTAGGCGCGAGAGCTTTCGAATATAAACGGGCTTCAGTTGTGATGGTCTGGTCATGAATCTAACTGAGAATGAATTGGAGTGTGAATCAGCCTCAGTAGTACGAGCGCGTCTCTGCGCATGAGCCTGGGTCCTCCTGGGGCCTCCTGGGGCCTCCTGAAACCTTCTGGGGCTTCCTGGGGCCTCCAGGAGCATCTTGGGGCCTCCTGGGGCCTCCTGGGACCTCCTAGGGAGGATTCGTGCCCAGGAGAGGCCCAATATATAGCAACAGACGTACATAGAACATTGCGGATTGGAGCCACAGGAGAAGGGGGCAATCTATAGAAACACGCGTAAAACACCAAGGATTCGTGCCCCAGGAGAGGCCCTATAGGAATAACAGGAGAAGGACAATATATAGAAACATACTATAACATCAAGGATTCGTGCTCCAGATGAGGCCCAATCTATAAGAGCATACGTAAACACACATTGGATTGGAGCCACTCCTGTTGCCTTCTGAGGCCTCCTGCTCCTGGGGCCTCTCGGGGCCTCCTGTTGCCTTCCGAGACCTCCTGGCGTTTCCTCTGACCTCCTGGGGCCTCCTGTGGCTTCCTGAAGCCTGCCGGAGCTTCCTGGGGCATCCTAGAGCCTTTTGGGACATCCTGTGGCCTCTTGAGTCTTTCTGTGGCCTCCTGATGCCTCCTGGGACCTCATGTGGTCTCCTGGGGCCTCCTGGAGCCTGTTGGAGCCTCCTGTGGCATCCTGAAGAGAATCTGTGCCCACGAGTCTGGCCACCGATCGAGACATCCTCAAAATCTGGCCCACCTGGGGGGTGAAACTGAGCGCCTCGCTCGAGACATCCTCCAAATCTGCTCTGGTAGCCAAGGATGTTGGGACAGAAAACAAGCAAACCGCTTGAGACATCCCCACAAAACGGCCGCGAACGGGACCGTGAGATAACCCGTGGCGGCTCCCCATAGGGCGGGGTTAAAACGAGCGCCTCGCTCGAGACATCCTCCAAATCTGCTCCGAAAGCGAAGGATGTCGGGAATGAAAACAGGCAAACCGCTTGAGACATCCCCACAAAACGGCCGCGAACGGGACCGTGAGATAACCCCTGGCGGCTCCCCCTAGGGTGGTGAAAATGAGCGCCTCGCTCGAGACATCCTCCAAACCTGCTCCGAAAGCGAAGGATGCTGGAACAGAAAACAAGCAAACCGCTTGAGACATCCCCACAGAACGGCCGCGAACGGGACCGTGAGATAACTCCTGGCGGCTCACTTTAGGTGGGTGAAAATGAGCGCCTCGCTCGAGACATCCTCCAAATCTGCTCCGAAAACAAAGGATGTTGGGAGGGCAAATTGCTTCAGACATCCCCACAAAACGGCCGCGAACGGGACCGTGAGATAACCCCTGGCGGCTCCCCTTAGGGGAGTGAAAATGAGCGCCTCGCTCGAGACATCCTCCAACTCTGCTCCGAAAACGAAGGATGTTGGGACAGAAAACAAGCACACTGCTTGAGACATCCCCGAACGGGACTGTGAGATAACCCCTCGGCGGCCCCCCTTAGGGACGTGAAAATGAATGCCTCGCTCGAGACATCCTCCAAAACTGCTCTGGTTGCCAAGGATGTTGGGACAGAAAACAAGCAAACCGCTTGAGACATCCCCACAAAACGGCCGCGAACGGGACCGTGAGATAACCCCTGGCGGCTCCCCTCAGGGGGAGCTGAAACCAGCGCCCCGCCTGAGACATCCTCACAATCTGCTCTGGTAGCCAAGGATGTTGCGACAGAAAACAAGCAAACCGCTTGAGGCATCCCCACAAAACGGCCGCGAACGGGGCGTGCGTGAGTCTCACCATGAGTAAGTCTGAGTAGGAGTAGGTCTGAGTATGAGTAAGTCTGAGTAAGATTAATTCTGTGTGAGAGTAAATCTGAGTATGAATAAGTCTGAGCGTGAGTCAGTCTGTGTATGAATAAGTCTGGGTATGAGGAAGAGAGGGGAGGATAATGGGAAGAGGAAGGAGGAGGAGTAGGAGGCGTTCCAATAATAACAAGAACCACATCTTAGGATATGGGGAAAAACACGGAAGCAAGGAAATGAGGACGCGTAGCCTGACATAGCATGACGTGGCGACGCCCCAAGATGGGGGGGGACTTTTGCGGCTCAGAAAAACGACGAATCGGCACCAAATGTGCAATCACTTCCGATGGTTGTCTGTTCGGGAGGGGTTCTAAATGTTCAAGCCACTTGGAAGGAACGAAAGACATGCGGTGGCATGGCGCTGGGAATAATGACGCAAGCGCTGCAGCGGGAGCACGTGTTGGAACGAGCGGAAGCGCGGAAATGAAGCCAGCGCTGCAGCGGGAGCGCGATTCGGAACGAGCGGTAACCCGAAAATGAGGCCAGCGCTTCAGCGAGAGCAGCCTCTTGGAACAAGACCGGCGAAGACCCCACTCCCGGGAATCCCGTGTGTAAAGAGCCCGCACGCGGCGGGGGGCCGAACAATCCCCGGACGCCACCAGGGGTGAGAGGTGACGGGCCTGTTTTCCACCACCACCACCATAAGTTGGAGGGGGAGGGGGTCCTCCTTCTCCTCCTCCTCCTCCTACTCCTCCTCTTCCTCGCCCTCCTCCTCGTCTTCCCCCCTTCCAACTTATGGTGGTGGTGGTGGAGAAAGGGTCCATCAAGAGGAGCGTAGCATGCATATGTTTGAATTGCGGAGGGACGCCCCGCCTGCGGAGGGGCTCCGCAGGCGGGGCGCCGGGCGCCGGGCGGCCCAGCGCCGGCGCAGAGGCTGCCCGGGGGCGGCCCTTGCCGCGGCCAGGCTGTGGCCACGCGTGTCGCTCGCCACGCCAGGGGCCATGCTGCGGCCAGGGGCGCAGCGGCGGCGGGAGACAAAACTGCACCCAGGGCCGAGGGAGGCAACCCACTTTCGGGGCGGACTGTGCGCGGCCACCTAAGCAGCGCAGTAGCCTGTGCGAAGAGACGACGGCCAAGCTTGATGAAGGCCACGCGCTGTCTGGGTGGGCAGCGCATGGCAGGTCTAGGGGCACCTAGGTAACCAGTGCAATAACCTGCGCGAGCAGAGGGGGGAGCCCAGGGCGGGGGGGGGGCGCGGGGACCGCGTTCCACCCGGGGCGGGCAGCGCGCGGCCGCGGGGCACCCAACGCCACCGGGTGGGGCGAAGCGGGCTGGGCCCCGTTCGGCGCAGGCACGAATGATAGGGGCCGCGCTCGAGCACTCGAGATCCGTCTGCGGAGGGCAGGGCTAGGCCACAAGGCCACGCGCGTTGCCTGAGGAGGGCGAACCGCACCGAGAAAGGGCGCCAGCCGGGTCGACTCCCGCGCTGGCGACGCAGGTCGTCTGGGGGGGGGGCAGCCCGAGGAAGCCTGGTGCCAGGCGCTCAGGCGCTGGCTGACGCCAGGCATGGCCGTGGCGTCAAGGGCCTTTGGGGCCGGGTAGGCCCGTCAGGTCGGGGCGGCGCGGCCTCGATTGGCCCTTGTTGGGCCACGTGGGGTCGGCTTGTCTCTTACCTATCACGGGCGGGTAGTTGCCTCTACCTTTGCCCCGCCCCTCGTCGCGCTGTTGTTCGCGGCGTTGGAGCTGGCGCTCCCAGACTGCACTCCAGTCCATCTGGAGTCCCCTCGACCTGCAGCCCCTGCGGATGTCGTCATAGGAGTGGCAGGAGGTCGGCGACGAACTCCCTGCAGAATTCGTCGTGCCCCTCGGGGTGGCATGTGCCTCTCCCTATGCCTCCGCCGTCTCGGTCATGGCAGAAGAGGCTGTTGTCCGTCGATCGGCTTCCCATGCTTCGGAAAATTCCAAAAGGCGAAGTATGGGGAACCCGAGGTCGCAAGGCTTCAGACGCGACCCCCACGACCTCAAAAAAGCTCTTCCTGGAAGTATGGGAACCCATCGGCCGCCAGATTCCCTACGGGGTTCTGGCGACCGATGGGTTTCCCAGAATTGTCCCCGTCGAATTATGGGAAACCCATCGGCCGCCAGATTCCCGAGGGGTTTCTGGCGGCCGATGGGTTTCCCAAAATTCGGGATCTAGACCCCGCTCGCCGCCGCAAATTATGGGAAACCCATAGGTCGGCAGATTCTCAAGGGAATCTGGCGACCTATGGGTTTCCCAGAATTGTCTCCGCGAATTGTAGGAAACCCATCGGCCGCCAGACTCCCTAGGGCTTTCTGGCGGCCGATTGGTTTCCCATAATTCGCGGCGGCAAGCGGGGTCCAGATCCCGAATGATGGGAAACCCATCGGCCGCCACATTCCCGGGGGGGTTCTGGCCGCCGGTGGGTTTCCCATAATTCGCCCACGCCAGCGGCCCCGTGGAATTTCACAGAACCCCGGACGCCGTGCAATTATGGGACATTCGCATTCGAATTCGCTCGCACAATGGGGCCTTCGAGAGGGATCCCCCGAATTATGGGAAACCCATCGGCCGCCGATGGGTCTCCCATAATTCGCGGCGGCGAGCGGGGTCCAGATCCTCATATTATGGGGAAACCCATCGGCGGCCAGAAACCCCTAGGGAATCTGGCGGCCGATGGGTTTCCCATAATGGCAGCGAGCGGGGTCCAAATCCCGAATTATGGGAAACCATCGGCCGCTAGATTCCCGGGGGGGGTTCTGGCCGCCAGTGCGTTTCCAATAATTTGCCCACGCCAGCGGCCCCGTGGAATTTCACAGAATTCCAGACGCCACGCACTTACGGGACATTCGCACTCGAAGTGGGGAGTAGGGAACATGGACGACGGGGGTAGGGACAGGACATGACACGCGCCGATGTCGCCCAGAGGGCGTCGCGTGCAGAGAGCGGCGGGTGCGCCAGGGCGCCTGAGTACTCAGTTGGCTCTGTGGACGTACATGGATGTCATGTTCCTCCACAGCTCGTCATCGCAAGCAGATGATTCCGAATCCCATCTTTGTGGTAACTTCGCGAGGTCGAACAGGCGTCGTCAAATCCACGCAACAGAGGACGAGGGGGGAGGAGGAAGAGGAATGAGGCGACTCCCGCGAGGTCTTGGTGAGAAAGAACAAAGGCGATGAGGCTGATTGAAGGGGCAACTGAGCCGGACAGGGCCAAATTAAGCCCAATACTTAGCTGGCTTGAGCGCGATGAAGCCAAATAAAACATAATTCGGTCAGGGTGGAACGGTTTTCGACCGCGGATATACCAGCGCCGATGCTGAATTCAACCTCCCAGAAACTGCAACCGCGGAAGTGGAAGGCTGGAGGAGGAGCAGGAGGAGGAAGAGGAGGAAGAAGGGAGGGAGGATTAGGATAACAATGCTTTGCAGCGCGTCTGCTAACATTCCTGAGGGTGGGTGGCTTGTGCCCTCTCCGCTCAGTTCATCCTCGAGGTGAGCTCGTTGATGAGGTCCTCCCGGTTGCCCGATGAACCCCCACGCTGCTCGCAGAAACCGTGGCGCTTGTTTTCAAAACCACATTTGGCGGAGACAGCTTGAGGGACCAGAGGAAATTCGAGCACTGCTTGAACGCTGGGCCAACTGTGTAGATCTCGTGGACCACATTCTCCATGCTATGGACGCCGTGATCTCCCACAGTACCCGAGATGACCTCGTTGTCCGACAGCGGGATCCGCTGCTTGTTTGACATTGCCGAAGCCGCGCTTGTAGAAAGGTCACGACAGTCTTCAGCTTCGGGTAGCCATAGGTCACGTATGGCTGCACCAGCTTCAGCATGTTCAAGATGGGCTTTTAACCTTCAGGAACACGCCGTAGTGGAGCTGCTTCAGCCTCAGCAGCTTCGGGCTGAGCTTGATGATGCCGACGATGCGGACCACGAAGAGCAGCTTGGCCTCGGGATCCACGAAGAAATTGCCCGCCGATTTCGCCTGGCGGCAAAAGGCCACTAGCTTGCGGGCGTGCGCTGCGTAGTCCTGGGGGGGGGCATAAAGGCACCGGTACCGCTACTCCCCGGATTTCTCCCAGGATACGTTCTGATCAGCATTTCGATGCGAATCCAGCCGTGGCAACGATGGCCACCCAGGAGGCCCAACAGGTCAAAAGCAAGGCAAGGGTAGCAACATCAGTACCTCTTCCTCCTCCGAAGTCCTTCTCGTACTTCAGCGACCGCATCTTCAAGTCGTGGCGCTACGCGGCCCGTTCAACCTTCTTCACCGCGGCGGCATTATGCTTCTCCTCCGCCAGCGCCGCGTTGCGCTCGAGTTTCATCTTCACCATCTCGGGCACCGCCGCGCCCTCGACCACGATGTCCCTGCTGATGAGGTAGCGGTCCACCATTCATGCGGCGTGGCCTCTGCAGCTCGCGTCGCGCGCTGCTTTTCCAGGGCTTGCCCTGAACCCCAAAGGCTACATAGGGAGGGTGGAGGTGAAGACGAGGAGGAGGAAGACAACTTGCGCCGTCTTGGAGCCCTCTTGGGCCCGCTCGAGCAGTCCTCGGCCATCGTGAAGCTTCCTTGGAGCTCTTTTCGGAAGCCTCTGGCTCCTCCCAGGCCGTTTGGGAGCCGCGCGTCATTTAAAAATGGGAGGCCCCCCTTAAGAAAAACGAGTCCTCAAGTGTTTAAAAGATGTTGGCGAGCAGGGGGTCCTCTCGGAACTTTACCTTGGCCTCTTGGGTAGTGTTGGGGTCAACTTGGAGCCTGATGGGCTCTCTCTCCTTCTGGGCCCCTTCTGGGCTCTACTGGGGCAAGCTGGACGGCAATGGAGCCATCTCAGGGCTCTTGGGACTCGTAGCTCTGGGTGCCTCTGGGAAGGCAGAGGGGAAGGCAAGGAGAGGGAATGCAAGGGAGGCTCTGGATGCGGATGAGGGACTGGAAGGGGCAATCTCAGGCAAGGGGAGGCTCTGGAAGCGGATGAGGGACTCGTAGGTATGGGTGCGCCTGGGTTTGAGGCCCCGCGGCCCACGGGGCTGAGTTCGGCGAGTGCTTGTGTGGAGCATGTCTAGATACATGCCCAAAACGCTCCACTGGCACGTCTGGTGATGCGACGTGGACATAAGGGCGGAGGCGAATGGAAAGGAGGAAAACAGGAGGAGTGGGGAAGGGAGGAGGAGGAAGGAGGAGGACCAGGGTAAACCCAAGAGTCATCAACAATGTTGGAATACACCCCTCCAAGCTCCCTCTTCACAGGCCCCTGCAAGGAATCATTTTCACTGAAGGAAGGGCCTGGTTGGAAGACGACCGTGTGACAATCCTGAAGCGCGCCAAAACACCATTCTCAGGACTTCAACGCCACGAGTGAACCTGACTGTTGCGTCTTGACGATCCTGAATCGTGCCAGAACGCCGTTCCCGGGATTCCATCACCGTGAATCAACGTAACTGTTGCGCCCTGAATATCCTGAACCGCTCCAGAATGCCATTTCTAGTACGTTGACCATAAGAACCCGTGAAACTCCTGCAGCATACTGAAATGAATGTGCGCGGCGCCCAGGCGAGACCCACATTTGGCAAAAAAAACGCCACCAACCCTTCAAACTCTTGCAGAATTTGAAGACGAATATGCGCGACGCTATAGCGAGAGCCACATGTTGAACACGAGCCGCCCACAATGCGTGAAACCCTTGCGATTTTTGAAAACGAATGCGCGTGGCGCTAAGGCGAGGGCCATATGTTGAAACTCACCCGCCCTGAATCGTTGAAGCTCTTGCAAACGTTTCAGAAGAATGTGCGTGGCGCTAGCGCGATAACCACAGATTGGAAATCACCCGCCCTCTTTCTGTAGAACTGCTGCCAGCTTCTAAGCTTCTGGCTCACAAGCGGTAAAGAAATCTCAGGCAGAACGCCCAGCCCATGCCCTTCCGACCGGCCTCGGGATGCGACAGGGACGAGGTGTTCTTAAGGACAAGGAATGGAGGAGGAAGAAGAAGAGGAGGAGGAGGAAAAGACGGGAGGAAGGGGAACATGTAGAACTAGCAAAGCAAACGAAGAGGAACACAAGGAGCGCGACAGGGTGAAAAAAGAGAAGGGGAGAGAGAGAGAGAGAGAGAGAGAAAACAAAAAAAAAAGGAGAGGACGAAGAGCTGGAAGGAGGACCGCGACGGGGAAGAGAAGTGAGAGGAGCGGCGAAAGGCTGGGGCGAACAAGGATAAAGAGGGAAACAAACTGGCAATGACAAATTCTGCTGATGCTGGAAACAGACAGAGCCTGCGACGTCATATGCGAAGTGGCATCACTAGCGAAGCAACTCAGAGGGTACCTGACCGTGTGATGTTCTACACGCCGCAGGCTGTCTCTTAGGAAAGCCTAACCAACAACGAGTGCATCCGTGTGGTATAACTGCGCACTAAAACTCTCACAACACATGGAACTGATGTCGCGCGAAACAAAAAATTAGGGGGGCTTAAAACAGCCCTCGTTCAGTCAGCCTACAAATGGAAGCGCATTCAGCGCCTGACCCACACACAAAATTCGTGGCCTGCCAACGCGAAGGTCCAGCCGTTGCCCGGGTTCCAGTCGTCGGTGCCGACCTTCACGGCCACCTTGCCGCCGCAGATCGCCGCATAGAGCCCCCCGCGCGCCTCCCGGATCTCGCAGTTCGAGGTGACGTGGATGCCCCCTTCCTGGCGTTTGTTTTGAGGACTGGAAGAAGGACGAGGAGGAGGAGGAGGAGCAGGAGGAGGAGGGACAAGAAGCGAGGAGAGATGATGAAAATGATGATGATGATGATGATGATGATGATAATGATAATGATAATGATGATGATGATGATGGTGATGATGATGAAGATGATGATGATGATGATGATGATGATGATGATGATGATGATGATGATGATGATGGTGATAATGGTGATGATGAGTATGGTGATGCTACTGGTGATGGGAACGATGACCACGATGATGATGCTGATGATGATGATGATAACAACGATGATGATGATGATGGTGATGGCAGCTATGACTAGGTTGCTGATGACGCTAATGATGACGATGGTGATCATGATGATGATTATGATGCTGATGATGACGATAACAATGCTGATGATGGTGGTGATCATGATGGTGATGATCATGACTGTGATGATGCTAATGCTGATGGTGATGATGGTGATGCTAATTATGGTACTGAAAATGATTATGGTGATGATGATGGAGATGCTGATGGTGTTGATGATGGTGATGATGGTGTTAATGATTAGTGGTATTGTGACGCTGATGGTGACGATTGATAATGACGATGATAGTTATGATGATTATGCTGATTCTGATGCTGTTGCTGATGATGATGGTACGGATGAAGCTGAGGGTGACGATGATGTTGTTGATGGTGACGATGACGATAATGATGGGGATGATGATAATGATGCTGATGGTGGTGATGCTGAACATGGTAATGGTGATGCTGATGATGTTGATGATAATATCAGCCAGCGTTGACCCCAAATAGATAGGACAGGAGGACGAGAGGAGGATGAGAGGAGGACGAAAGGAGGACGGGAGCAGGACGGGAGAAGGACGGGAGGAGGACGGGAGGAGGACGGGAGCAGCGAAATCAAGCAAGCGCAAGCATGCAAGCGGAAGCAAGCAAGCGGAAGCAAGCAAGCGCAAGCGAGAGATAACAAGCAAACAAGAGCCAGCGATTCAGCCCAAGCAAGCAAGGGCAAACAAGAGCAAGCAAGCGAGAGCAAGCACGCAAGAGCAAGCAAGCAAGTGCCATTGGAAAAAGGGGGGGATGCCATTGGAAAAAGGGAAGTGCTATTTGAAAAAAGGGGGTCCTAAAGACCAATCACTTATGGTGAGTTAGGACTCCTATAGGGCAAGCCTATCTGGAGAATAAGGATAATGATGATGATGCTGATGCTGATGCTGATGCTGATGCTGATGATGATGATGATGATGATGATGATGATGATGATGATGATGATGATGAGGATGAGGATGAGGATGAGGGTGAGGATGATGATGGTACGGCTGGTGATGATGGGATGATGATGATGCTGATGATAATGATGATGGTGATAATAATAAGAATGCAGATTATGACGATGCTGATGATGATGATGACGAGGAGGATGAGGAGGAGGAGGAGGAGGGGCCAGGGAGGAGGGGGGCGCAGAGCTCCACTACTAGATGTTTTTGTTCAGCTCCCTGGCCCCCGAACATCTGGACCCCCCTTTCCACAGGGGGGCCAGCCTTTCATCCCAGCTCGTCTCTTGACGGCCCCGCTGACCCGAGACCGCGCCCTGGGACGCCGAGACATGGCGAGGGACCTCTGGCGCGATGCGATCGGGCGGCCAGAGGTTGGGAGCAGGAGGAAAAGGAGGGAGAGATGCCGCTTGCCAGTCTCATCCTGCCCTTTTGCTGCTCAGATGCAGATTCGGGGTGAGGAGGGGGATGGTGGGCTGGTGCCTGCCTCCTCGACACCTTCGCGGTGGGCCGCGGGCGTCGCGACAGCAAGCGGCAGAAGGAGGGCAAGAGACCCGTTTCCTGGCGGATGCTGCACAGCGCAAGGATCTTCTCGCGCACGTGTGAGCCCCTGTTGTAGTCGCCCATGAACACCGTCGGCACGCCGGGATGCGTGAGAATGATCGCGTAGCCTAGCCATCCCCCTCCTCCCCCTCCTCATCCTCCCCCTTCTCCTCCTCCTCCTCCTCCTCCTCCTCCTCCTCCTCCTCCTCCTCCGCCGCCGCCGCCGCCGCCGCCGCCGCCGCCGCCGCCGCCGCCGCCGCCGCCGCCGCCGCCCTCCTCTCCTCCTCCGTGCCCCTCTTCTTCTCATCCGTAAACCTCCCTCCTCCTGGTGAACTGGTGGAGCTGGTGAGCTGGATGCATGAAGTTCCGTCGGATGTTGCCCTCCCCTCCTCCTCCTCCTCCTCCTCCTCCTCCTCCTCCTCCTCCTCCTCGTCCTCGTCCTCTCTCCTCCTCCTCCTCCTCCTCCTCCTCCTCCTCCTCCTCCTCCTCCTCCTCCTCCCTCCTCCTCCTCCTCCTCCTCCTCCTCCTCCTCCTCCTCCTCCTCCCCTCCTCCTCCTCCTCCTCCTCCTCCTCCTCCTCCTCCTCCTCCTCCTCCTCCCCCTCCTTCTTCTTCGATAGCATGCCGCCACCGGTCCGGCCGGCGCGGGTTTCTCCCGGCAGACTGGGAGAAACTTATCAAACGGATTTTATAAACCTGGCCCGACGGTCTGCCAGCGACTCAGCGAGCCCCGAAGCCTGCCACGGCAGGACTGACGGGGTTATCGCTGGACGCCCGTCGGGGGCGCGCTCTCTTGCCAGGTCCCTCCAGGGTCGAAGGACTCTGTTGGACCGATGAAATGGAGCGGGGGGAGGGAGGGAGGAGGGAGGGGGGGAGGGGCAGGGGAGGGGAAGAAGAGGGGGGAGGGCGAGGGAGGGCAGGGGGGGAGGGGGGGGCAGAAAGACGGCGACGACGACCCCGACGAAGGCGGCACCGGCGACGACGACGACAGCGGCGGCGACGGCAACGACGGCAGCGACGACACCGACGACGACGCCAGCCCCACCCTGGGGCCGTCCCCCCCCCGGCCCCCAGGATCGCGCCCACGGCCCGCCCGGCCAGGGCCGCCGAGGCCTGTGACATAAGAGATATTATGTCACCAGCGCCCCGCGTCCCCAGCCCGCGCCCCCGGAGCCCCCCCAGCAGGGGCCGTAAGAGCGGGTGATACGAAGACCCCCGCCCCAAGCCCCCCGCCGGCGAAGTCCCGGTGCCATGTCGGAAGCCGAACGCGCTATCTCGGGGGACGTCCAGGCCGCCGGGGTCACCAACCAAGGCCGCCCCGGGGCCACACGGCCGCCCCCGGGGCCCCCGGAGCCGCCCCGGGGCCCCCCGATCACGAACCCCAAGGTTGTGATCGTGAGGCTTGGCTTGGCTTGGAGTCGACTGAAGCGGGCTCTCAGAGCCCAGTCGCAGTGTCCACACGGCAGCGTCAGCTGTTACAATTCAGCCTGTACAGTATAGAGCGCGAAGCGCGTAGATATACACAAGCACAGGCATCAACATGAAAAGAGACGGCAAACACGCGTCAGACGAGCTGTGGCTGCAAGCAGCCGTTCCGCGGCACTCAGTTCAGCTTGAGTAACTGTGCATGCATCGCTCAAACACCAGGCCTCTCTGTACACCTCCGTCCAAACACAGTCGTTAGTATTTGTCCCAAACCCGATATCAAGCCAGCAGCCACACCCAACCCCTAAGGCCGAGACGCCACCATCCCAGGCACCCCGAATGGCAACGACATTCATCGTGTTAGTAAATATAGAATCGTACGATTCTTTGATGTAAGTTAGGCCCTCGCGGGCCTCATGTGTCAGTCTGTCAGCTCTCTCATTGTTTTCCCTAAAGATATGCTTCACAATGTCCCGTCCCTTCATAGGTGGTCTCCCTCCCTCCTGCACACATATGTTGTATAACCGATCCTGCAAGTTGGCAACTCGTTTGCGATAGTCCACCTGTTCACATGCCCACACACCGTTGATCCACGACACAATCAGCAGGCTATCCCCGCAGATCTCCACAGGTAGTCCAGGGGTGGTAAAATCCCAGACCGTCTCACGCATGTACGACAGTGCAATACGTTTGCTGAGTCTCAGGTTCTCCTCCTCCTCCATCCTTCTTCTCTTGGGTTCTCTTTCCTCCTCCATACCTCTGCTAATACCGAACTCCTCCTCCTTCTCGTAGTTGGTACCACATCCTCTCTTGTGTTCTGGCTGAAAATATTTGTGCATATGCTCGGCCGCCGTCACGACAGCCCACGTGAAAAAATCACTGCGCAGCATGCAGTCCCACCAGCCATCACCAAAGAACTGCTGTAGTGGGTACTGCCATGTACGCTGAGCCGTCACTTCCCTCCCCATTTTCCTCCTCCTCATATCCCCTTCCTCCCAACGAATACGTGTGGAAGCATGTGCATGGAAGAATGCGGCAGCTCGATCACGCATGTGATCCCATTGCTTAGGGAAGGCCAGCATACCGAATCTCGCATCATACCAACAGCGATCGTGACAGTTATGCACAGGCACAGATTAGATAAAATTGGACAATCCTTGGCAACATTCCAGCATGCTAACAATAATCGCTGTGGCAGTGGCATGAAACCTGCCTCCTGAAACATGATCGCGAGGCCCCCGGGCGTTCCGGGGCCCCCAGGCGCGCGCAAATCAGGTCCCGGGGGGCCCCGCCGGGTCGCCGGGACCACCAGGGCCGCCTTGGGGCCACCTCAGAGGTCGTCGAGGGCCTCTGCAGAATGGGTGATCCTGAACGGCATATGGGGTCCTTCGACCCACGGGCGCCCGCCTTGCCTCCGTGGCCCGGCCGCGAGCCGCGCCGCTACGGTCACCCCCGTCAGGACGTCGGCGTCCTGGGCGCAGCGCTGCGCAAGCGCTGCGGCTGGCGTGCCCTCCCAGGCTGTCCCTGCTGCGGCGCCCCGCGCTGCCTGCGCAGCGTTGCGGCACTGTGGGAGGTGCTGGACGTCAAGCTCCACGCCGTCGCACCACGGACAGGCTGCCTCCGCCGCGCCGCCCCTGCTGGAGGTGAAGCGCCCTTGGAGGCGCCACTGCGCCCAGGGCCGGATGGCGCGACAGGTCAGGCGGAACTCCGCCGCATCCGCCGCGACCCGTAGCCCTCTGTCCAGGCACCGGGTGCGCTCGGCGGTCACCCAGAGATCTTCACGCCGCTGCAGCTGCGGGTCGACCTCCTCCACGAGGTAACGCCGGATGAGCCTCTTGCGCGCCTCCCGGCCGAGCGCCTCGGGGGGCGCAGCGGCCGCCGCCTCCACCCACTCCCGGAACGGTCGCACGTTCAGGCCGCCGGCGTGGTGCTGCATGGTCGCTGTCCAGGTGGTCTGGAATTGCCCCGCAAGGCGCAGCACGCGCGGCGGGAGGGCGGACTGGGGCATGGCCTGGACCCTGGCCCAGAGACCGAACGCTTGTCGCAGCGTGGTCGTGCTGAGTCTCCACGGCATCCCGATCTCGCGGAGGAGGCAGACCCAGGGGGCCGGTTGGGTCAAGTCCAGGAGCTCAGAGACCCATCGGTCGTAGATGGCGCCCAGGCGAGTCGCCCAGTCGCCGCGGGTCACCAAGAGGGCGGCTCCGTGGCAGGCGCCCGGTTGCACGCGGGCCCGCAGTGCTGCGAGCGCCGCCGCCAGGGGGAGGCCGAGCAGCTCAATGCCCGCGAGGGTGCCGCGCCAGGCCCTCTGCGCCCGCTGCTTAACTTGCTTCAGCAGGCCAGTCATGGTCGCGTCAGGCTCTACGGGGACGCCCAAGGACGCGTGGAGGTCAACGAAGGCAATGTCATTGAGCGGCCGTCGGTCAGCGAGGCCCTGCGCCATGCACTCCGTCTTGCCTGGGCCTAGGCGGAACTGCCCTCGAATGCTGTGCGACGCCGCGCCGAGCTTGCAGAGGGCCTGGGCGAGGCCGCCGCGAGAACTCGTCCTGTGGGCATTGTCATCCATGAACTGCGTGAGGCCCACTCGGATTGTCGACGCGGCGTCGAGTAGTCCACACTGGTCCTCTCGCGTGGCCGCGACCCGCATGGCGTCGCCCCATGCGAGCTCCCCCCGCGCGCAACGGCCGGCCGTCTCCTGGCACCACGCCCAGGACGGGCTGGCCTGAAGGTCGTCGGGTTTGGCCTCCGTGTGGAAAGCGACCGCAGCTTCCTCAGGTGGGTCGAGGCCTACGCCGTGGGCATCGTCGCCGAGAGCTCGTTCGAAGCAGCGAGCCACACCTGCATAGAACGCTGATGCCAGTCGACGTCCCTCGGGCACGCCGCCGGGGAAGGAGATGGTTTCCGAGACCGCGTCCCGGCCGACGACCCGGATCTGCGTGTCCTCGAGCACTTGGGCTGCAGCTGCTAGATCCTCTCCGACGACGCCCGCGCCCTCCCAGAGGTGGAGGACGACCGCCGGCGTGTGGATGGTGTCGAAGGCCTCGGCTAGGTCCGTAAACACCTCCAGGAGCGGCAACCCGTGCTCGGTCCGCACCAAACGAGTTCCAATGCCCAGAAGGACGGAGATCAGAGAATCGCCTCGGCCCGTTTGGCTCTCGCCAGCAGATCCCCAGACCTTGTCCTCGTGATGCAGGGCCCAGAGCTCTTCCGCTATGCGGAGCTCAGCTGTGTTGGTGCTGAGGGTCCGGTAGCTTGGGGGGCGCTGCCGTGGTCGGCCCGACTTCTTCTCGTGGAACCTCGGCTGGGTTTTCCACGCCTGTGGTATAACCGGCAAGAACCTCGCGAAGTTCTGCGTCCGCAGGAGGAGGCCAGCATGCTCCGGGGTGAGGGCTTTAATGGAGGCGCGCGGCAGCCCGGCTGCTGCCTTGCCCGGCTTCGCTCGGGCACACGCGTCACGGAGGTCCTCGTCGACATAGGGCCGGTGGTCTGCGGCCCACGCCTCCCGCCAGGACGCGCGGATCGAGCTGATCAGCCCTTTGAGCCGGCCCTCTTGTTCTCGGAGGTGGGCGCGCTCCTCCTCCGTGTATGCATCCTCTCGTCCTGCGCCTCTGTGCGCGATGTAGGCCGCCGCGCCCCTCAGGATCGCGTCACCGTGGGGAAGTGCCGAGGGGTGGTCTGGATCCCCCATGACGGCAGGGAGGCCCAGTC